GCGATCCGCGCGCGTTGGGCGGGGGCGGGGCGTAGGGCGAGCGGCTCGGCGGCGGCGGGCCGGGCGGCGGCGCGAAGCTCTGTGGGGGCGGTGGACCGAGCGGGTGCTCCCACGACGAGCGCGGTGGGCTGGTGGACGTGTTGACGTAGAAGTACTGGCCGTAGCTGCGCGAAGCGAAGGACTTCTGTCAGATCCAATCTCACAACACATATTGATTCTGAAATCGCACTTGGCGTCCCAGCGCTGGACCCAGCCAGGCGGGAGATCGCGCGTGTCGGGGTTCGGAGGCGGGGCGGACATCGCTGCTGGTGGTGGTGGTGGTAGGTAGTGAGTGTCGGAGGAGAGGTCGATGTGAGGTTAAGAGACTTGAAGTGGATGTGCCCGACGGCTTATGGGATCAAACGGGTCACGATACACGTACGCGTACAGCTTACAGTAATAACCTGGCCTTGTGTCGCGATTATGGTAAGCGGCCAAGGCGCCCGAGGCCCGGGCCGGCAGTGTTGATCGATAGCCATATTCGCCCGGCTTGGCCGAGATAAGGCTGGGATCCTAGCAACTTGGCCCAACTGCTGTACTGTACACGTAGCGCGCAGTCAACGCGTTGTGGTTGCACCGCAGAAGCAGAAGACCGGTACAGACCCAATAAGAACACAAGCATCGCCCAAAAGATGTGTATGGAGTAACAATTGCGGTAAATACAATACAGATGCGATGTACGTGTACGGAGAGCGATCCAGCAGTCAAACAGCCAAACAAGCCAACAAAAAGCAGAACAATGTACACATACGACAACGGAAAAGCACAGAGCACTCAGCAGAACGAGAACGAGATCAAGATACATACAGCAGATCGGCAGCGCGTTCTATACACACGAGTCGAAACGCGTCGTTTTGCGAGAGCGTCCTCAGGAAACACCGGCTCAGAATCACGACCCCGTCCCCCGCGCCTTCTTCCTCGCCTGCCTCTTCGGCGCCGGCGCACTCCCACTCCCCCCCGCTCCCTCCCCCACATCAGCGCTCTCCCTTCCCTTCCTCTTCGTCCCCGCACTCGGCGCCGGCGCCGGACTCTCTCCCCCACCTCCACCAGACCCCGACGGTCCTGCACCAGCCGTGCTAGTATTTGCGAGCTTCGGCGTCCCCTCCTGCTGAGCCTGCCCGCGCTTCTTCGGCGCAGCCCTCGGCGACGGCGCCGCGCTGTTACTATTATTCGCAGCCGCGAGCGCAGGCGACGGAGGGGGTGCGTTGGCGGGCGTACTAGGCCCCGCTTGCCCCTGTCCTGGTCCTTGTTGTCCCGGGCCCTGCGTCTGCTGCGGCCCCGGCTGCCCCGGCCCCTGCGTCTGACTCTGCATCTGTCCTTGCTGCTGCTGTTGCGCCTGACCCTGCGGCGGTGGCGGCGGCGGAATCGCTCCCCCAGGCGTATGTGGCGGCAGCGGCCCAAACGGGCCCGCC